GTCCAACAAACTAAATTCCAACTATGATGGTCAAAAAAAAAATGTGTATGCTAATGTGTGTATATACATCTGCTTTTGAAATGCCATCGTGAGGGAAATTTAATTGAAAATCATTGGAAAAATACCTAAAATAGAATAGCACAAAAGAAATAATAGAGAAAGAAAAACTCAACTCACAAAGGCAGACTATTATTATTTATTAAGCAAGCAATTAGTTTTACTTTGCTAAATAATATATCTTTATGTTTATTTTATAACAAAATACTCACGAATCACGTGGGCATCTCTATAAAATCGTTAGTTAGACATAGATACAAAACGCTTTTTGTGAGTGTATATGTGAGTGGGTTTTTGGCGTGTTAGATTTGCTGATGTGCAAAATCTAATTAATTATTTCATTAAAAATGGCATTTTATTGACATTCTAATTTGGATTTTTAGAATATTTCGCCCCGGAGTGGTACAAATACATATATATATACCGATATTAGCCACCCCCGCATATATCGTGTGGCATCGGTACCTGGTCAACACGGCGGATGAGCGATTTTAATTGGTTTTTAACTAATTTGCTTGCATTCAAAGAGGGGAGTAACTCCTCCTCTCTACTCTACTATCCTGCTGCTGATTTTAGTCCTTTCCTAAAACTAAATAAGAGCAAATAGGAGAGAGGTGTGTGGTAGTAGTTGTAGGCCTTGCTAAAATTGCATTGTTGATATTGCAGCCATATAATTCGATTTGACATTTTCCCCTGCAACGTATTATAATGAGATTTTCCATTTAAAATTCAAATCAAATTTTCCCATTTATGGTTCGATTTAACTATACTTAATACCCCGAAAAAAACTGGTCTCATCCGAAAGTAATTTGAGTCAATTTCCTGATTTCAATTTCATTGCTTGAATTTTCTTTATGACTTCCTTGTCACTTTATCCTTATACCATAAGGATACGCACACGCCTCCTTACCATATAAAGTCATAAACGATATATGCACACATAACTGTAAAAATAATGAGTGAAACAACAACAACAAAAAGGGCAACGCACACACAAAAAGGAAAAGCTACTTGTACCTCGGACTTTGTGTACATTCAATGATTCTCCCCCACTGACAACTAAAATGCAAATCGTAAAAATAACAATCATCATCATAACGCGTCCTGCCCTCGTTCCTTGAATCCTAGTAGACTTACGGATACATAGATAGCTAGATGGATGGATGGAGGATACATGTCAGGAAAGGCATATAGGATATATATATGGAGGGTTGTATGTCGTCCTGCGGAGGGGTAAAATATTTGCCAAGGAACTTAGTTCACTTGCCAAGGCGCCGTATCAATTTACCAAAAATAACAAGTGACGAAGACCGAGAGTTATTAGAACTTAATTTTACCCTGGAATTTAGGGGGAGGATTACTTCAAAGGGTGGATTGGAAATAAAGGAAAAAGAAATATAAAAAAGAGGGAATAGAAAAGTTTTAGCTTAATTTGTTAGAGATATAATTTGGGTTTCTTTATGTTAAATAATAATAGGTTGTGTTTAGCTTATGAAATCTTTGATTAAAACTCTTCTTCTATATAAAATATATTTAAATCAAGACAAATACTTTATTTTTGTGGATTTTTTCCCATTCTAAAACCAATTCTCCTTTGCTTTAATTCTTGACAAAACCTTCTCTAATTTCAATGAATTAATGCTTCTTCAAATAAGTTTAAAATTAATTTAAAATACAGAAGTTAATATTGAAATGTGATTTTTGAAAATTAGTAATTATATAGATAATATTGTTCCCATTCAAGATTACAATTCTCCTTTGTTTTAACCCTGACAAAACCTTCTCTAATTTCAATATACCCTTTGAATCGTAAACTTTTCTTCTGTTTTGGGGGGCGTTCAAATAGTTAGTACAAATTTGATTGTGCCCATGGCCAACAGGAGTTGTTTCTGCCATTTCCGCAGTTCTAGATACCAAATGCGTGTTTGTTCAGTCACATATACTATATATCTGTAGTACAGTATGTGGATCGTTATATAACAAATATACAAATATATCTATATATATATACATAGATATCAGTGTGTGTTGTTTAGTAATTCGTTTTTTATTTACCATTATCATTTACATTTATTTGTTATTATGTTACGCTCAACACCCTGGTCCCCAGGACCCACCACCACCCCACATCGCGGGTATCCTTTCAATTGCACACCAAAACACACAGCTTTGTTTTTGTGCCTTTTTTGGACTTGGACGCAAAAATTGTGAAATGTTTTGTTTTTAGGCAGTTTTGCCATTTGAACATTTGAAAAGTTGAACATTTGAACATTTGAAGTGTGGCATGCAGAATGCAATTGCGTTGTTGCACATCCACATACACACATCCGGCTGATTACATGTGAAAAGCGTATTTGTTGGTGCTTTATTTTCCTGTCCTTTCCACCCCCTCCCCCACCTTTCATTTACATATTTTTCGGTTACCAAGCCGGAAAACTATCTGTTGTTTTATTTCGTTGTTTCTTGGCCGGGTTAGTTATTGTAGGGGAGTCCCCCTTCTGAATTTATGTGCGATGTGCGAGGCGAGTCGAGGCGAATGTTTGTTCAATAAACGAAATAATTGCCAGCAAATGTGTTATGATGAAATTGTTTTGGGTTACTTCATAAATTAGCGCAACAAAATGCAAAAAGGTAGTGTGTGTGCACCATGGATATGGTTTGTTGTGAGTAACTGTGCGTATATCAACTGTAACTACACACCTAATGGGCCTTACTAATTTCCCACGAAAAAGGAAAACTATAGAAATATATTTACATATATTTATATTTAGGGGAAGAAATTTTCTGTTTTAATGAGTTTCTGGGAATTATAGTTCATGGTTTTACTGAGAACGAAGCATAGACTTGTAATTTTGCGACACACATCTATAATTAGTACCAAGGAAGGTCTTTGATTAAAACTACAATTGTACAATATATCATAAACCATAATAATCTCTGCTCAATTTATGTTTCTTAAATCAGCAAACTAAACTTAAAACAAGAATGAAAATTAACTTCAGGAAGCCCAAGTTTATATATACTTGCAGTTTCCAAATTATTTATAGGATCGTATCGGAAATCGATCATAATTAAGCTTTAAATATACTCATTCTTGGAATCGATAATTATCGATATGTTCATACGAAAAATCTCATAATTAAGCCAAAAATTCATTAATTTCAAATCAGAAACCGTACATATTTAGTTTTTTGAAGGTTAATAAATTGCATACTCCATTTAAATATTTTAAAATTTCAATTTTAACAATTTAAACATGAACCCTTATAATTTTTTTTAAAAATTTAGAAAATTATTTTTCTACCGGACATGGCTAGCAACATTCGCCTGTTGATGTGATCAAGAATATATATATTGTGTTTTAAGCATCTGACTAAAATTAGAATACCCTAGAAAGGGTATAAAAACACCCCCTAGAAAGACTTACAATGCCATAACTTTTGTATTTCCGATTATATTACTTAAACTTTTCCTCTTCAAATACCTTAAGTAAACTATTTTTTCATTTAAAGAGTATCACAACCGATTACTTTGTAATTCAGTTTAATTATTTCAAAATCAATCCCTTCGAAATTCCCCAAACTACACGTGTAGTTCAATTTCTCAACCCACTTCTCCGCCGTTCACTCATTACAAAACTCACCCTTACCTGGTAATTCCATAGTTACCAATTAAATGTGTGCACTGCTGACCAGCCTCCTTCGATTGTCTTAGTCACGGCCAAAAGTGATGGCCATAATCGAGTTTAAAATGCGCCATCATTAATCAACAGACACCCATGAGTCAGAGTGAGTGAGTAACAGAACGAGTACGAGTACGAGTATGAGTACGAGTGCCCATGAACATGATTTTCGAACGGAATTCCAGCATAAACCATGAAGAATTTGTTACAAACCTGCAACTGCAGGCGCCAATTGCAACCAAACAGGAATTGGTGGGAAGTGAATAAAAATATATTCAGGGGAATGGTCAGTTCCGCCCTCATACCCAAATTCGATCACAGAGATTGTAATCCGAATCTTCGCAGTGAGTGTAATCCAAGACCAGAGAGATGAATGCGTTTATAAATATTTTGATGGTGGTACATCGATCAGGTTTTTGGGTTTGGGAGCACACACACAGAAGATGGATGGTTACCTCTTCTAATGATCTTGTACAATTATTTTGGTTAAAGCACTTAAAGAAATCTATTTTAAAATGTATTTGGAAAAAGATATTCAAATTGTATTGATTATTTATCGAAATATTGAAGTTTTTGAAATGTTACCGGGCGTTTATGATAGGTTTATTACTAAAAGTCGGTGAATTTCATGTTAAACATATGAAATTTATTATCTATGAAATATAAATACATCTGAAATTGTATTTGTATATTATTTTATAATTATTTAGCAAATTTAACGATATTAAGTAGAATATATCGATATGTAAAATTCTAAATATCGTTTTGAAATAATAGCTATGGTGATGGTTAAATGACTTATTAAATGAATATCACAATTTCAAATATAAAAAATATACAGAAAAACCTTCTAGAAACACTTACAATCTTCATAGATTGCTCATTTCTTGATTGATTTTTTCTTCAAGTGTATGTCAAAGATCTCAGGAGTGGCGGTCAAACTTCAGCTCCATTGTTTTGTGGCTTGTAAACGGTTAAATTAAATTGATTTGCGTCTAATGCCCCCGACAAGTGGCCCGCTCTCGGTGGCTTCGGTGGCTACGGTGGGTACCATGGGTTCCCTGGGTTTCTTGGGTCTCCCCTCACGTAATTAATGGTTTCATTAGACCAACCGCGGATCCAGCGGCAATCGGCAGCGTCCCGGTCCCGCTGCTTATGTATGAATAATTGGTAATAATATTTAATGATTGGCCCACCTGCCCGAGCAATTGTATGTATAAACCAAAACTAAACTCAATTTCTATGTTTCCCTCTCTTGCAGCGATTTGTAGCTCCGTCCATGGGCGCCGCGGCTAACAGGGTCCGGTGAAAATGGACAAAGGCCGTGCGAGATTGCCGCCGAATTAGCAGAGAAGCCGCCGGAAAATCCAACGCAAATATTTGCCAAAAAAAGAAAAATCCAGGAAAAGAAAAGAGAGAACGAGGACACAAAGCCCACAAAAGCAAACAGAAAGAAGCCTTTGACAATAGCCAAGGAATTAGCCACAAAAGGAGCAGCGTACGCGGGTCCATTAAGACAGTTCATCATCCAACCAACCAATATATAGAGATAGATCCCAACCCCGGCTAGACTCTGGTCGTGGTCCACATAAATGACCGAGTCCACCCAGCTGCAGACGGCGGAGAATAACAACGCGGGCGTGGTGAAAATGGAGCCTCCGCCGCCGGCGACCTCCTCCGCCGCCGCTGCCGCCGCCGCCGCTGCACATGCTCTATCCTCGCTATCCTCACTCTCGATGGCGGCCACCGGCTCCTCCCTATCGCCGGCCACGCCTCCACCCTCGGTGAATCTGTCACAGGCGCAGCATCAGCAGCAGCAGCAGCAGCACTATGCCCTCAAATGGAATGACTTCCAGAGCTCGATCCTTAGCTCATTCCGGCATTTGCGCGATGAGGAGGACTTTGTGGATGTGACGCTGGCCTGCGATGAGCGTTCCTTTACCGCCCACAAGGTGGTACTCAGTGCCTGCAGTCCCTACTTCCGAAGGCTGCTCAAGGCCAATCCCTGCGAGCATCCAATTGTCATATTGCGCGATGTGCGATGCGATGATGTTGAGAATCTGCTAAGGTATTGTATTCATTTATAACAGTAGTAGAAGTACTATAATTTATATTTTATCTTTTAATTTCCTTTGTTTAGCTTTATGTACAATGGCGAGGTGAATGTCAGCCATGAACAGTTGCCCGATTTCTTGAAGACCGCTCATTTGCTGCAAATACGCGGTTTGGCGGATGTCAATGGTGGTTATCCCTATTCCAAGGCTCTCTCTGCTGCCCTCAGTCACAGCAACAATAACAATACGACTGGCAACAGTCTCAGTCATAACAATAATAACAATTTGACTGAAAGCAGTAACCACAATAAAATCAACAGCTACTTAATGCAGAATCAAACGAGCATCAGTAGCAATAATAATGCAAGCAACAACCACAGCAGCAGCAGCGGCACAGCAGCAACACCAACAGCAGCAGCAGCAACAATAATAATAATAGCAACAATAACAACAATAATAATAATACTAGTGGATCCCTGAACAGCAGCCTGAATTCACCATTCAGCACGCCACAAGTGCCGCCTCCAGTTACCGCCTCGAGTGCCGCCGCAGCCGCAGCAGCTGCTGCATCTTTAACTGCTGCCGTTGCAGCAGCAGCCGCTGCAACAGCCAATGCTGCAAGCAGCAGCAGCAGCAGCAGCAGCAACAACATCTCCAGCGGACAAAGTGGCAATGTCAGTGGCACACCAGCCATCCAAGAGCTAAAGGCATCCTCGGCAGCGTCGCCCGTAAGAACAACCAATCCCAATCCCAGCAAAGTAAAGTGTGCAGTTCCAAGCGCTTGCACTTGACTTGATTTTAAGTTTTAACTTTTCAACTAATCCTCTATTTCCCCTAATCCTCTATTCCAGGCCAGCAGCAATCATTGGGACCTGGTTGAAATGGAGGGCAGCCGGAAGAGTCATCTAACGCCGCCGCCACAGAAGCGCATCAAGAGCGCTGATTTGTTCCGTGCCCAACATGGCATCAGTCCGGAGCGGTTGCTTATTGATCGTGACTTTCCGGTGGCTGGACAGCATCCGCTTACAAGGAATCGCAGTGGTCGGGACACGTCCAAGGATCGAGAGAGGAATATGGAGTTAAGGGAATCGCTGCTGGGACAGGCATTGGAGAACAGCAATGGACAGCAGGCCAGTCAGGTGGGTTGAGAATACTACTTTTATATAGTTTATATAGTTATTTAAGGAAAGGATTCTGGCAACCGTGACACTATAATTCATCAAATATATCTCGTTATCCTTTTCTAGAAGCACGATCTTGGTCAGAGTGCGGGAGAGGATTCAAATAGCAGTGATACGGAGCCCTCGGATCGTGGAGATGGTCAGCACGATGGCACTCTTGATGGCATCGACAATCAGCGCTCCCATTCGTTCCCTAATGCATTCCTTGGCCTGCAGGGTATTCCTGGTCTACTGCCAGGACCCTCTGGCATTGGCAGTGATTTCGGTAAGTCCCAATTTTAATTAAACTTTTCAAAAATATATCAATTTAAAGCTTGCTATTCGTTTACACTTATGAAACCAAAATATTTGCCTCTTGAGTATAATTTAAAAATTGGATAAAGAGTGTGCAGAAAACAATAAAAGATTAAGTATATGATTTGCATTTTGCCAGATAATTAATTAGTAACTAACTGTCGATTTATCGATAAACAAATAGGGTTTAAAAGCAAAACAAATTGAAATGAATTGGCATTATAAACATAAATATTTAAGATATATAAGATAAGACACAATATAAATTCGTGAAAAAGTATAAACAACAATTGGCACTTTCACTTGAAAAATGTATAGAAATGTTATCGATTTATCGAAAATTTGCTTGTTGTATTTGATTTATAAAAGAAACGAAAGAGTACTATTTGTATATGATTTGCATTTATGGATTTATTGAAAGTAACTAACTATTATAAACAATGAGCCGATAAAATCATTTTAATTTAAAGGATATTGAAATATGATATCGATTAATTGTCATGTGTATCTATCAGCTATCATCTTAAGTCGTAGTCTTAGTCTTTAGTCTTTAAGCAGTGCAGAGAAACTCACTTATAATGACCCCCTCTACTAGTGCAAAGTAAACAAAATCTAATTTGTTGCGATATTCGATGTGTTCCTTAACGAGCTGACCAGCCCATATGGAAGGCAATCATTAGGCCCATAAGAACCATCAGAACCTACATAGAACCCAAGACCAAAGAGATCCCATTCAAATCCCCCTTTTCCCAATCCTGACCAAGAAATATTCGTGGAGCACGTGTCGCATTATGGATATGGATATGTGGCGACTGTTGGTCATGTGATTATAAACACATTCGGATGGGGATACGAAACGTAATGTTCGTGCCATTCACGTATGTGCAAATGTTCTACGTAACGGACAACAAAAAATGATTATTGCCATTACCGAAAAACACTATTGCTATCGATATAACTACGGTCATTGCTATTGCTATTACGGTTATTGTGATTATGATTACCATTCGATTGGTAAGCGGAAGGATAACGCAGGCACTTGGAGAAAATAAGGGGTTTAAAAGGGGATTTTGTTATAACAAATAAAGGTTTAGCAGGATATTTTGTAGGATATTTTGGTACTTGAAGAGTTAGGAGTTGTTATTTCTGTTTTATAAAATATTTGACGCTTCTCCCTTCTTATGTCTAAAATATATTCCCTTTCATAGTCTCTCCCCTAATTCCCAGTGTAAGAAAAAGGCGTTACAAATATGATTTGACCAGATCCTTAGTCCTGCCTCCGTTTTTTTCTCCTATTTTTTTGTGACTTGTTTGTTGTGCTGCTAAGCACATGACACGCACTTTGTTCGATGTCGCAAATGTCGCATTTAACGCGCATTAAAATGATAATAGCCTCGGCTTCCGTCTCATACTCGCATCCTTGAACGTTATCCTGTAAGGATTCCTAAGCCTCGTTTAATATTCAAGGCACATAGATCATTGCAACAAATGTTGGCCAGCACTTGGTCAGTTTAGTGAGACAGGCCTGGGCGAAGAAATCAAATTTAATAAAGCATAAACATTCAATAAGCTTCGGGACTAGCCAAAGTCATTTGAAATTCCGAACAGGGCCCAAAAAAAAAAAAAAGGAAAAGCGAGGGCGTAGCCCAGGACTCTTTCTTGGCCATTTGGAAATCCGAATCGAAAATATTAACGGCCTGAGCAAAAAGGATAAACTTTTGCGCAATGATAAAAATGATAAGTTTTTTTTCCTCCTGCCTGCCTGCCTTCTGTTTTTTCCCCCCCAAAAAAGGGCGACACTCGAGACACACACACTCCTTATATATTTAGATTTTATTTCGTTTTATTGCTTTTTTGTGCATTCGATTTATTTGGTGGGCATTGGCAATGGCCGAAAACGGACTTGGAAATTGCGCACATGTGTGCGCAAGGACTTGAGAGCTGAGAGAGTCCTGTCCGCCTCTCCCCCCCTTCAGAATCTCCTCTGTCCCCCCAGTAATATGAGTTGGGTTTGCATTTTAATATATTTACTTGGTCCTCGGTCTCCTGCCTACCCGCTGTCCTCTCGGAACGCCCCACAAATGTCACACACTCGCAATCAGATGCGGGATTCCCCCCGAAAAACTACAAAAGACGAACGAGAAAAGAGGGAAAAAGTTTACTTTGCAGAAATCCATTGCAGAAACATTTATAAAGTGGCCCCGGCCAGGATCCTAGCCCTCAGTCCCCCTTTTGAAATTGTCTTCGAGAAGCAGGCGGCACAAAAAAGGACCTAGAATAACAGGCGAAAATGTGCAGTGAAAGAAATTGTGGGGAGCTTAATATAAGATTTTAAATAAAAGAAGATTTTTGGGTGTGTTGTAAGTTGAATTTTATAAAAGGGAGCTAGAGAATTGATGTACATTTTAGTAGAGATCTTAAGAGATGTCTTAGAAACCTAATTGCTAGTTGGTTTTGTGATTTTGCTAACTTTAAAGATTAAATCCTTTCCTAAATATTTGGAAATTATAGTTCTCCTTAACCGATAGTCCACATTCTTCGCTCTTTATAGATCAAACATAATGTAAAACTAAGTTATCTTACATTTACTACCTAGTTTTTCTGTTAGTGTCCTGAAAGAACTGTGCAGAAAGAAAGCAGGACATCGCAAAGCTGGACCCCGACCCTTGCCAGGAGAAGGCGTCTTCGCTGTCATTGCCGAGGACATTTTAAAATGAAAATGATAGCAGCAAGACACACAAAAAAAAAAGAAAGGAAAAGAAAGCGGACAGCCAGGCCGGCGGCTGTGGCGACCTCGTCAGGTGGGTGGTTCCGGACTTCAGTTTCTGTAGAGGATTTGGTTTGGTGGCCCCCCAAACATTGACAGCAAATAAATGGCAGCCAAAATAATAACAGCAAAGGGGTGGCCCATGTGTGCAAGATAGCTGACTTCAAATCAGGAAAATCTTTTTCTCTCCCCCCAAAAGAAAAGAAAAAGGAGAAATTTTCCTGGCAGCTGGCGAGGTGCGAACACCAATGCAGTTTGGCGGGGCGAAGCTTAAAATGCAAACAAATGGTATCAAAAAGGGCTAGAAATCGCTGACATATGAGGCCAGAGTAGTGGCTCATTTCTTGGCCAAAATCAAATGCAAAAGTTTTTCCCGGAAGCCAGGGCGTGTGGCAGGACCAAGGACGAAGGACGAAGGAGTGCAGGAATCGAACTTGGCTGGACCAACTGGCGCTGTCTCTGGGCTAGCTAATGCGCAAAGTTTCTTTCGATTTTTGGTTTTCTTTGGGTTTTGGCTTCTATTTGCCAGCTGCTCACAAAACTGCACTTGTTTTTCAGTGCCTTGTGTCCATCTTTGCCAGTTCCATAGACTGCAGCATTGCTTAGCTCAAAAAAGAGTAAAGTAAAGTATTATTTATTTGAAAAACATTGCCATCAAGGAAAGTCTGATTAAATCGCTTGCCCTGTAACTGTCATGAGTCCTTGTCTTGATGTCCTGAAAAATGTATTTAGTTTTTGGTGAGTCATTTTTGGGGGATGAGAGTTGCAACAATGATATACCCTAGAGTTGAATTTGTTATAATAATCAATTGATAAAATGAAAATGGGGTTCTTAAGATGTATAACTATTACATATCAAGCTTCAAATATTTGAATAGTAGATGAAGCTTTTCTGACTTTATTTCACATAGTTTTTATAGTTTATTTAAGTTTAATGAAGTCTAATCCTAGATCGATAAGATCTCTATTATCAAGTGCATCCTTTTTCCCTTTAATTATATTCCCAGTGACTTTGGCATTATTTTGATAACACAAAGTGTGTGTATGCCCACGAAAGGGATTACAATCTCTGTGTTGAAGATAATGGCTGTGTAAGACCCAGCGAAATATAGAGACATTTAATGACGTACACTACCAGGACTCTGACTCCTTTTCCTCCTGTTTCCTGCTGCGTGAAATGCGTAAAATTAGCAGCCGGCAATAAGCATGCGAGAAACATTATTTTCCTGGCCAAACAAAACGCACCCAAAACTAAACAGGAGGCTTAAGGTGCGTGTGCCGGGTCCTGCTCCTGCTCCTGCTCCTTCTCCCTTGTAGACATACATACAAATGTTGGGAATGGGAAAGGAACTACATTTGTTGGCGTGTTTGCATTTAATAAATTCGATTAACAACGGAATAAATACGCTTAAATGCGGAAAATAATGAAAACTAACGAAAAGCGTTTTGTTAGCCAGAAAGACAGAGAGAGAGTGTGTAGAGCCGCCCTTTTTGTTGGCGTCGCCTGGGCGCCGCTTTCATTCCATCCGGCATTCAATCATTCATTCCATTCAGTTATTCATTTTACGAGCTGTGTTATTATTGTAAATATGTGTATGTGTATATGTTGCTGTAACAAATACAAATACATTACGTGAATAAACGCACCCATTATTTCATTTCATCAAGAACCATTAACGCCAACACGCCGCACACTTGTATGGTGTGTATATGTGTGAGACGAGTCCTGTTTTAGTCCTGTGGCAGCTCACCGCGCCTAGTGTGGCCAGCCTCAGCACTGGTCTCCTTCCAGCTGCTGCAAATGAGCGAAGGACATGAAAATGTTCAAGTAAACACACACACACTCGCACTCCTCGCATGTTGTAGGGGGGCGAGGGCGCAAAACTTTTCCAGGATAATGAGTAAAATGATTGGAAATACATTTGCAGTGCGTGCGTCTATCGCATGTATCTGTAGCTTGAGCTGTATCCCTGTATCCTGGACCAGCGGCAAATCGTTTAATGTATCCTTGAGCAGGACATTGTTATGTCATTGCCAAGTTAGCAACTAAAAGAAGTCCCGAAAAGGTTGAAGGATACCCAGCAAAAGCTTTCCAAAGGACAGGGTTCAAGATAGATAGTTATTCCTGTTTAAAAAATTAACTTCAATTAAAGAATATTTCTAGCAATCTATTCCTAAAAATTATAAATAATAATATCCCTACA